GTTCCCAGCCCGCCTCGGGGGACCAACACCAGGTGCTTGGGGCAGGCTGGGGCAGTGGTTAGAGCGGGGGGGGGCGGCTCAGGACCCCTGGGCGCTATGGTCTAATCGAGCAGAGGTGCGAGAGCCAGGACGCCTGGGTTCTCTCCCCAGCGCTGGGAAGGGAGTGGTATCCAGTGGTTAAAGCAGGGGGGTGGGGGTACTGGGTGCCAGGACTCCTGGGTTCTCTCCCCAGCGCTGGGAAGGGAGTGGGATCCAGTGTTTAAAGCAGGGGGAGGGGGGTGCTGGGCACCAGGACTCCTGGGTTCTCTCCCCGGCACTGGGAGGGGAGTGCTTAGAACGGGGCCAGCTGGGATTTTAAGTCCTGGACTCCCCTCCGAGCACTCAAAATAGAACCCAGAAGTCCTGACTCCCACCTCTGCCCCGCCCCTGACTCGAGTCTCCTGGAGGCTGATATTATCTGTCCAGAAACTGAGACGGCTCAAACTCACAAGAACAAAAGTAGCCTCAGTGCTGGCTCCCTGGGCCCTCCCAACCGCACTGGGGCAGGAGATGACCCCCCCGCTTTATCTCAGACGAAGACCCCGCTCTGGGTTTGACACTCACCCCTTCGCCTCTGCCTGTCGCCATCCACACAGGGAGCTCCCACCTCAGTGGATTAAACGCCGTGGCCTCCCTTAGGTCAATCACATCACCTCCCTACAGTCTTACACATGGGGAAACTGAGGTGCCATTTGCCCACCTGGCAAATCAATGGCAGAGCCAGCCCGGGAAGGAACCCAGGCGTCCTGACTCCCAGCACTCCCCCCTGCCTCCTCTCCTAACTGGGGTCATGATGAGAAGCAGCTGCTGGCGAGGGGAAACTGAGGGGCACCGTGACCCGCCCGGTCACCTCAGGCCCAGTGATGGGTTAGGCCAGCCCTGTACGCAGCCCATCAAGGAGGCACCGGGGCCCCAGCCCCACTCCTGGCTCCCAGCTCTCCGGAAACCACCTTCCCCTGGCAAGAGCTGACAAAACCCCCAGAAACCAGGACTTTCCCCTGGCACCCAGCTTCCCCTCTCCAGTGGCAGAGGGCATCTGCTGGGTGGGAGGATGGCAGGACGCCCCCAGGGCGGCAGTAATGGAATAAGCAGCCCCCAGCGCCGTGAGAGGTTGATTCACGCCCTGATGCAGGAGGGTTTGTTTCCCAGGTGTGTATTTTTATTGTGGAGGCTTGTTAGCCATATAAATGTCAGACACAGCTCCCTCTCTGTGTGCCACCCTGGCAGGGCAAAGGAGCCTTAAACAAGCTGGAAAGGACCCCCGGAGACTCCCCGCCATCTCCCAGACCCCACACATAGCCACTGCACCACCTATGCTCGACCCCCCAGGGCCCATAGGGGGTGGAGCGGGAGCATGGCCTGAGCTAGACACAAGGGGCTGGCCAGGTCCAGCATGCGGGGAGCAGACGGAAAGAGACCCACAACCAGGCAGGGGAGAAGCTGCACCAGCCCAGGGAAGCGTGAGTATTTCCCGAAGGCACAAGGCCTGTGTTAATGGAACTCCCCCAGCCTCGCTGGAATAAGTGCTGTCCCTCCAAAGGACTCGCACAGCCCCCCCACGGCCATATCTGAACACCTCACAACCGCTACTGCATTTAGCCTCACAACTGCACAGAGGGGAAACCGAGGCAGGGAGAGGCTAAATGACTCACCCACATGCCACTGTCTGCAAAGACCAAGAAGGGCACCCTCACCACTGGGCCATCCTTTCTACCAGCACCTGCCCTGCTGTGGAAGGATCAGAGCCCCATAAGGACATGGGCATGGCTTGACTGGCAACTCCGTGGCAGGGTGGGCTTTTTGTTCTGTGTCTGTATGGCACCTGGCACCATGGTACCCGGCTGCAGAGCTCCAATGGTACCTGTGGCACAATGGGGTGTGACTAGCGTGGCACCAGTTACCATATCCCCTCGCATCCAACGGTACCAGGTCCTGTGCCAACCCGCAGGGCTGCAGCAGTACCAGTTTACAACGCCTTCCCCAGTGGCATAGCTAGGCATGGAAATGTAGGTGAGCCCCAATTGATGGTAGACAGGTAATGACCAAAGGTCTGAGGTCCCAGCAAACCAGTTCCATGGCACATGAATAAATTCACTTCAAAACACATTTACTTAAACTTGGCATTCACACAGACTCCGGTTTGGATGGGCCTGGGTGCACCACTTACTAGATCCATCTTCAAGACTGCAGCGGCCTCAGTTCCAGTCCCCTAGGGGACTAAGGCAGTGCCCAGTCCATGCTGTCCAGGTGTCTTATGGGAGGTGTAGTTCAGGTCTCGCATGTCCCCATTCTCTTCTATGGGCTAGGCTCCCTGGCCAGACTACATCTCCCATCATGCTCCATGGTCTTGCCTCTTGGAGATGGGTGTCGGTGCATCATGGGAGTCCCACAGCTGCAACACATCACGGGAGATGTAGGCTGGCGGGGGAGCCCAGCCCATAATAAAGAATGGGGCTAAGAATCACCCAAACTACAACTCCCATGAGGCACCTGGGTAGCATTTCTGAACTGAGATATTCTGAGTTTTGGGTATTCTTTGATTCTGAACAAAAAGTCAAAATTTTCCACAAGCAGCAGCCACTTCTCACAGGACGTTTTGCTGGGTCGAGTCCTGATTTGCTGTCGAAGAACAGCTGCGATGGAGAATTGTCCAAGCTGCCCCATTCCCTGGGGAGCGGTGGACCTGCCAAGGGGCTGGGCTGGGCTGGCAGAGCAAGGCCAACGACCACAAGGGGTCCTCGATCGGTGCAGTGGTGGGACCAGCTGATTTCTTGAGGTTCCTTTCAGCCGTAAGCTTCTGGGTTCGTGTGGGTCAGCTCTGGGGGTCTCTGAAAGTACTGATGAGCTTCTTCCAAAGTCCCCGGAAGGATCCGAAAGTGCTTCCTTCACGGGCAGGCTCCTTCCATATCTGGGCATGCTGGGAGGTTGGGATCTTCCTCAGAAGCAGGTGGCTTGGCAGATGCCCAAGGAAAATCCACGCGAGGGCGGCACTGAATGGTGGGAAATGGCCCCCCTACCCCTTGGAGCTGCCCCCGGCATTGGGGAAGCCGTGGGCTCTCGTTGGCATTTTCCCAGCACGCCTACGTAGGAGGTGGCCCGTTGACGTACTTCAGCATGAAATGGAAGGACCGGACGTAGCAGGGCGTTTCAGCGCGGGAGAGAAGGGAGGTGCCGGCCAGGAGGAGCAGGAGTAGTCCAGCCGCAGACAGCAGCAGCCTCTTCATTCTGACCAGGATCCTGGAGCCCGCCCGAGGTTGATCTGAGAAAGCCAAGGGCTGGGACATAGTCCTGGAGGCATGAGAGATGCCAGGATTGGAGTTGGCACGTGGGGGGCGGCGGGGAACAGAACAAGAGTCATAGGAGAGGCCCGTTGCAGCTCAACCCCCCACCCTGCGAGCCCCAGGGAAAAGGGGAGCATGGACTGTGGAACTCCCAGCCACTGGAAACCGGAATGGGCTCCAATGGGATTCGCCGCTCCCAGCGTCCCTGTCTCTGCATTGCTCTGTCCCCTGGCTGGGGGACCAAAGCCCCCTCCCTAGGGGTGAACCCCAAAGTCAGTGGAGTTGGGAGGGAGCCGGGCAGCTGTTTCAGACAGAAATGCGTCTGGAGACCTTCGCGCCAGAGTGTGGGAGAGGGGCAGGAAAGGAGGGTGGTTAGCTAGATACAAGGAGAAAGTCTGGGCTGGCTTCATGGATGGCCCGCTGAGAGGTCCACACCCTGCACCACCTCTGCCCCTCCCGTCTCAGCCTCATTCGCCTAGGCCCACCGGGCAACCCAGCCACAACCGGGCTGCGCTCAGACTGCTCCAGACACCCCTTGGGAACATCTGCTCTTGCTCTCCGTAACCCTTTGCAGGTGGGCAAGGGCCCACGGGGTGGTGACCTGGAACAGACGGCTGGAGGCGCTGGTGCAACGGGCTAACCCACCCCACTCCCAGGAAAGCAGGCCTGGGGGAGGCAGGGCTGGGAGGTGGGGAGATGCCAGGCCTGGGGTTGAGGGGGGGGTCAGTCGGGGCAAAGGACATCTGGCTGTGGCATTCCTGCCTCTCTGGCTCAAAGCAGCAGCCCCCTACCCCTTCTCAATGATGACTGCCACGTCCTCAGAGCCGGGACCGGCCTGACTTCTCTTGCAGGGCTGCAGAAGGAAGGTCGGAGAAGGGGGCCGTTAGTCAGGGCTGGATGGGGCCCAACACCCCCACTCCAGCTATGGGCTCTGCATGGCCAGCGCATCCGAGGTACCAGCCTCGAGCCCACTGCACGTGGGGCCTTCTTCCTTAACTCACGCGGGGGAAGGAAACTTTACAGCGGGAGAGGTGCTGTCTAGTGGTTAGAGCAGGGGGTTGGGAGTCAGGACTCCTGGGTCCTACCCCAGTGCCAGGGGAGGGGAGTTATGTCTAGCCCCATGCTTGGCTCGTGATCTGGGTGGGCATAGCTCTTTCTAATTACCGGCAGTACAAGGGGGCCTCCCCTCCTGGGAGTGGCCAGGCATGTCCCTGCTTAGCTTGGGGACTCTGACGGCATCCCAGCTGAGCCCTACTGCTTGGCCTGGACGCTGGGACTGGCAGGGCCAGCCAGGTCCTTGTCTTTCCCAGCCACTGCCGCAACCACCCACGCTCGGCCCTGCTGCTTGGGGAGGGGAAACTGGGGGGCGGCCCCATCGCGCCGAGCCCTGCGGGTGAGGGTGGATAGAAAGGGGCAGGGGTGAGACCAGAGGGGAGGACACCCCCCCTAGCCCAAATCCCACTTGCATCAGCTCCCCCTAGGGTGCCCCATCCCTGCAGAGGTCACAGGGATGACCCCCCAGGCCACCTGATCAGCACCAGCAGGGGAGGGAAAGCCGCATGGAGCTTGGGGCCGGGAGAGATCTAAGCCCCGCAGGCACTGGGGATGTGGGGGTGCCTGACCCGAGACCCCCCTGCCCCCTCCAGGGTGCAACAGCGCTCACCTGCATCACTTCCAGCTTGCCCTGCTCCACGCAGGTCTGGCCCAGCCAGCTCTCAATCCGCTCAGGGTCAAAGCCCACCGTCTCTGTCTGGCGGCAGGCCTCGTTCCCCAGGGCCAGGCCCTGGGGATGCCGGCTGCCCCGCTGAGGGGCATTCCCTAAGGGGAGAGGATGGCGGGGGCGTGACTGCCAGGGGCATGGTTACAAGAGAGAGATCAGCCCAGGGGAGGGGAGGGGAGGAAGGATGACCCGGTTATTAGGATACCAACCTGGGAGACGGCAGGGCTGGGTTCAAATCCTTGCTTTGCTACAAGCTCCTTGGGCAAATCACTTAGCCACTTCATGCCTCAGTTTCCCCTTCTTTGCAATGGGGATACCAGCCTTACAGGAGAGTTGAGAGGATACATACGCTACAGATTGTGAGGCCCTCGGCTAAGTAATGTGTGGGGCATCAGCAGGTGGCTCAAAGGAGTTAATAATGGGGGGCTACAGAGCCAGTGGCCTGGACTATGAAGCCCTTGGTATCAAACCAGCACCCCGAAGACAATCCCACCTCAGTACATGCTAGCAGCTCATGGCTGTTGGGTGGCTTCCCTACTGTGAAATGAGTTTGTCAGGTCTCAGTCCAGTTCCCCCCCCTCCCAGCAGAGGGGCCCAGAACTCAAGGGCCCTGGAGACTGAGCTCATCCCCAGAAGCGATGTCTTTCCAGAGCAGCGTCTGAGAAAGATCTCGGGGGCTGGCCGGGCAGGATCTTTCACCAGTCCTGAGCCTGGATGTTTTATGCAGCAGAAAACCGCCCCGCGCTGAAATGCACTGAGCCCTCACAGCTCATTTCACGCCAGCCACAGAGCCGGGGTACGGACAACCAAAGGCCAGATTCAAGCCCATAAAGGACCAAAGCCCTGACCTGGTGCATAAAGTACCTTTCACCGTAAGTACCTATGCGGGAAGGAGAGATCTGATAGCAGAAGACTCGTTTATAGGAGCACCGATAGAGTGAGATCAAGGTGCTGGGAGGGGAAGCTGGATAAACTAAGAATTAACCATTGGAGCAGCCCCTTAGGAGACACGGTGGATTCTCCATCGCTCTCCACCGAGATCAGATGCTCTACGTCAACCTCCAGATCTGGGCTGGCTGCAGCCTGGCTGATCGGAATGGTCCCTTCTGGCCTCAGAATCTATGAATCACTCGGCTCCCGCCGGTCTGTTTCCAGCCGGACTGGGGGAGTCTATTCAGGCGGATTAGGACTAGAGCTGGGAGAAGTGTTTCAGTTTTCGGTGACAAATGCAGATTCGGCACGTTTTGCAAAGCAGCGACGGTTTGGCCGACTTGTTCGTGTCGCAAAAACCAAACCACAACCAGACCCCGGCGGCAAACACACAACTCTGAAAAAGCCCAAACGGTTTCGAAGCAAAAGAGTGTCTTGGTTTCTTTCGCTCCGAACGACTTGGGGTTTCAAAACTCCCTTCGATTTCACTTTAAAAAAAATCCCAAACAATTCAAACAAGGCTCGGACACGAAACATCATTCAACCCGAAGCAAGATTTTTTTCCATGTTTTGATTTGCCCAAAATTCTGATTTTTTCCCCATAGATTCAGAGATCACAAGGCCGGAGGGGCCCACTGCCCTGAATTAGTCTAGTCTGGCCTGTGGAACGCGGACCAGAGAACGGCCCTGAATTAATTCCTGTTTGAACTAGATTTCCTGTTATTTATACAGCTTTAGAACATAAGAACGGCCATACTGGGTCAGACCAAAGTGGCCGGTGCCAGGTGCTTCAGAGGGAATGAACAGAACAGGGCAATTATCGAGTGATCCACTCCCTGTCGTCCAGTCCCAGCATCTTTTCTTATGACCCCACAAGTCTCCCCTCATTAGCTAGTGGGAGCTACCTAGGGGCTTTCTTGGTAATGGATAGGCAGTGGTCAGCTGGACTGGACTGTGACGGGCCAGGAAACAAGTCACTTACCGGAACTGTCCCAGACAATTTCCACCTTCCTTCTGGTCGCCAGGGAGAGACAAGGCCCGTCCTGGGAGCCCAGCTGCACCTGCGTTTCCCCTCGAAAGGGAACGGCCTGTTAATGATAGCCATACTCAGCCCCCACTGGCCAAAGCCGCCTCTATCAACCCTGACAGCTCCTCGCCAGGAGACAGGGTGTCTCCTGCTTGGGTTACAGGGAATGGAGGGACACGGTCCCAGCACCTACCCTCCCCCTGCACCTTCCCCGCTCAGCGCTTGGGATAGAACCCAGGAGTCCTGAGCTCCATTGCCTCCTACTCTGACCACTTGACCCCACTTCCCTCCCAGAGCTGGGGATAGAACCCAGGTGTCCTGGCGCCCAGCCAACTCTGCTCTAACCACTAGACCCCACTCCCTCTTACAAATAGGGAATCACCTTGTCTCTGGTTCCCAGTGAAGCCCGTTAGCAGCAGGGGGTCGTGTTAGGCGAGGGAAGGTCACCCTGCTACTGACCGGGCTACGGCTGGTTTAGGGCTAGACAGAGGCTGCAGCGGCTTTGCGGTTAAGGTGCTAGTCTGGGATTCAGGAAACCTGCATTCAAGTCCCAGCTGTGTGAGACCCTGCGCCAGCCCCTGCATCTCACCGGGCCTCAGTTTCCCCACTTCTCAAACAGAGCTAATCCCACTCTGTCTGAGAGTTCTCGGAGGTACGGCTGGTCTGGTGCCCCAATCTTAGCTACTGTGTCCGGGCAGCACCTGGCGCCGTGGGGCCCCGATCTCGGTTACCGCGCAGGGCCCAGAATTTCACTACGGGGGCTGCGCTGTAAAGCAGATAACAATGAAATGCAGAGAGGGGGAACGTGACATGGACGGATCCTACGTGGGGAGGGAGGAAACACAAGCCTAAGGGCTGAGAATTGGTCCTGGGAATTAATCGGACCCCCGGGCCCCCGCAGAGGTACCAGCGATTGGGGGGGACCAAAGGGGACTGTCCCCCACATACACTTTTTAAACATGGGGGTCCATGCCTCCCTTGCCCTTTTGAGAACCTGAACTCAGCAGAGGAGCTGTGGGGGAGAGGGGGGAAGCATTCCCCCCTCCCCCACTGGCCCTGTCCGGAGCTGGGTGGGGTGGCCCTGCGACCTGGGACTGGGCCCCCCCCACACTTCTGCTGTCCATCCCTCACCCCTGGGCCACTGCTGCGTAAAACCCCTTCCAGGGCTTTGTTTCCATGCTCCCCGATGGGGTCGGTTTCATCACACCCGAAACGCCCCCCCCTCCCCCGGCCGTTTATAGAGGGGTCCCAGGAAGCCCCTGCTCGTACTTTCACAGGGTTTAAGGCCAGCAGACCCCTGGTACATGTCACGCAGTGACCCCTGTATCGAGCCCAGCCCCCCTGGGATGGACTCCAGTAGCTACCTACGTTCAGGTCCTCGTGGCCGGTGCCTCTCCCGCATCCAGCCAGCCAGCTGCTGGGTGTGCCCAGCTGACAGCTGCACCTCCGGCCCGGCTCCTCCCACTGGCCCACACCTGGAGAGAGGGAACGGCGGCTGGTGGGATCTGCCCCTTTAAAAGATCCCCCGTGACCCCCAGGAGCTGCTGCAGCAATGTTGGGCTGGCCCAGCTCGGCTGCCCCCCTTTAAGGGACTGCCCCTTTAAGGCAAGGGGGATAGGGGGGCGTCTGTGCACCCCCAACCCATCTCCAGGGCCAGGAGCTGCTGCCCTTAAAGCTCTGCCCCAGCTGGCATGGGAGGGAGGTGGCAGCTGGGTCATTGTTGGGGGTGAGGGGGACAGTCCCTTTGAGGGTGGCCCACCCCTGCCATATGGGAAGGAATCTTTATGGAGAGAGGTGTTGTCTAGTGGGTTAGAGCTGGGGGGTGGGGCAGTCAGGACTCCTGGGTTCCATCCCCAACTCTGGGAGGGGGGTGAGAAGCCACCTCCTACCCATCATCGGGGCAGTTTGGGGGGGCTCTACCCCTTTAAGGACTCCTCTCCCCACCACTGCAATTCGGGGCAGCCAGGGTCCGCGACCGATGGCAGCCCGTACCCGTGATGGCGCTGCAGTACGATGAATCCTCTTCGTCATGAGACGTGGACCCGCCCACGTCCACCGAGGGGTCCCACTCCAGGTCCAGGCTGTCCCCCCAGGCAGCCCCGAACGGATGGCGGCGCCGGCAGCAGAGAGCCTTGTGCGGGGTGGACTGGTAGATCCAAGCAGCGGGAGGGGGGCCCCTGGCTTCTCCCTCAACCTCAGGCTCCGGGGACGCGTCTGCGAAGCAGTCAGACTCCACGTCAGTGTCTCGGTCTGACAGCCACTCATCCTCAAAGACCTGGTGGGTGGGTGGACAGGAAGGGTCAGCAGGAAAGAGACAGCAGCTCGCTAGGCCTTCAGTAGCCTTTAACTAACCCTCCTGCAATGGATTCTGCAAGGGGCAACTCCAATACACCTGAGCTATAGGAGAATCCCCAGTCATTGTTGGCAGTATAGGGGCTATGACACACATTCAAATAATTTTTATTCTACCAGCAGAGGGCAGAGAAGCACACACGAACTTGTAAATGATAATATCTCACCTGACAATCCTCAAGCACTTTGGAAACTGATACCCAGAAATCACCTCATCTAGCTTTGTGGGTACAGCTGCATTTGTTTATCCAGAAACCCCTCCCCCAGGGCAGAGATGCCGTCACCTTCAGGATGGGATATGGCAGCTGTTTATACAGGGATCCCTCAGTGCTGAGATGCAGCTGCCTCTGGGGTGGGGCATGGCAGCTGTTTATACAGAGCTCCCCCAACCGGTGCTGAGATGCAGCCACCTCTGGAGCGGAACACACAGCAGCCATTTAACAGCTGCAGAGCAATGCTGCACAACAGTTGAGGAGCGGAAGCAAAGAATCCTTTGACCAGCTGAAAATGCAGGGGGGAACTTGGGAAGGTAAAGACGCAACGGATCACAAGGAAATGTGGCCATGACCCAGGCGTTTCGTAGCCCAACTCTTGACAAAAAACCACCACAATAAGCGCCCGGTGCCTAGACCTCTCCCCTCACCAGCACAACAAATGCAGCCTCTGCCACCAAACCTGGGCCTTGGGGTCTGGCGAGAGCCCCCCGCTCTGCTTCTTGCAGCATGCCAGTTGGAATCAGCTGACAGACTGGCGCGTACTTCCCTCTGTGCCCCCACCCCTCTCCCTGCAGCACAGCGCCCCCTAGTGCTGCACTGAGGCATTGGGGTAAGCGCTGAGTGCATGGGGAGAGCGCCCCCTACTGAGCTCCCAACCCCACTCCCTGCAGCACAGCGCCCCCTAGTGCTGCACTGAGGCATTGGCGTAAGCGCTGAGTGCATGGGGAGAGCGCCCCCTACTGAGCTCCCAACCCCACTCCCTGCGGCACAGCGCCCCCTAGTGCCACACTGGGACCAGCACCGACTGCAAGAGGAGCGTGCCCCATTCTCTGCTCCCACCCCTCTTCGCAGAAGAGCGCTCCCTAGTGCCACCGTGGGGCATTACAGGCAGCACTGAGTGAGAAGGGAGCACTGCCCCACAATGTCTTCCTCACAGTGGTGGCCCTGAGGATTTTCCTGGTAAATCTCCCATCCCTAGTCTGGCAGGGCTGAGAGCGCCCAGGTGCCCGGCGCTGGTTGAGCCGCCGTGCCCCGTGGCGCGGGCTCCGCCCCACACGTACCAGCCTCATGCTGACCAGCCGGCGGCGGAAGCGGAACACCCGCCAGAAGACCTCCTGGCAGTAACAGCTCATCTCCTGCAGCTCCTCCTCCAGGATCTCGGCGTCCTGCGGCTCGCTCCTCTGGATCAACCGCTCGCCGGACACCAGCAGCCAGTCGAGCCGCTCCGCGTTGGACTGCACGGCCTCCTGGAACTCCTGGGACAGAGGGGAGACGTTAGCCGGGACCATGGGGCTGGCCCCTCCTTGCCAACTGCCCCGGGAATCTTAGCGGGCCTGGCCTCCCATTTCCATCTTACCCCGAAGACTTCCAGCAGCACAGCGCCCCCTACTGCCGTGCTGGGGTTTGCACTGGAGAGCACCCCAGCAGCACAGCACCCCCTAGTGCTGCGAGGGGAGAGAGCCCCCCGCTGAACCCCTCACCCTGCAGCACAGCGCCCCCTAGAGCCACCGTCTCAACGCTGCCCCAGAGAGAAGGGCAAGACCAAATGAAGGGCCCATCCCAACACCTGCGGGGCGTGGTCGCCCCTCCAGTTCCTGACCCTTCTGAGCTCGCCAGAACGGAGCGGCTTGGCGCCCAAGGTCACAGGGCTGCGGCAGTTCAGCCGTTGGGTTTATTACATGCTGTCGAGCGGCCCAGGGACAGGTGCGATCGCTAGCTGGAAGCGAGAAGCTAATCTCGGGATCGATCTGGCGTTTCCACGCAGAGGCTGGCTGGTTTGAGCAAGCAGAGGGCTGGTAATGCACATCAGCACCTGTTCCCTCCCGCCCCCAGCGTACAGAGCTGGAGGCGAGGGGAGGGTTTGGGAGACCAGTCAGCCTTGGGATATTTTAAGACGGCTCGGTGCCTTCAACCGAAGGACAAAGTCCACCCAGACACGGACAGAGCAGTGGGTGGAATACGGCCTGTTGACGGAGATCACTGGGCTGGGACTCAGGAGATGTAGACTGCCAGGTGACCTGGGGCAAGCCACGCCCCCCACTCCGTGCCTCAGTTTCCCCATCTGTCAAAGGGGGTGCTTCTTCGGGAAGCACTTTGAGATCTGCTGAGGAAAGAGCTAGGGATTCTTGGAAGAAAGGGAGAGCTAGTTTTCTACTGGCCTGAGGCCCGGCAAACTCATCTCACACAGGCCGGCAAATGGCCCATCCAGGGGAAACACTCATCAAGATTCAATCCCTATTGACCATGGCCCGATGGGAACTGGTGACCTAAAGGTGAAAGGGTGCACAGCTCTGCCCCAAGCCCCAGCTCCCGAGGGCCCAGGAAAGTGCTTTATACAGGGAGCCTGCAGCTCTCCGTCCCTGTGCAGCAGTTTGATCCAGGGGATCGCAGCAAATATTTCAGTTTCCTCTCTGAAAACCCACCCGCCTCGTCGCTTACGGACTTTTAACGTTTACGATCACAGGGGTGGGGTGTCTGTCTGCTGCCCCCTGCTGGCGGGGACGAACCCTGCTCTGTGCGTGCGCAGAAAGAGAGAGGAGGTACAAAAATGACACTGGATAGAAGAGTTCACTTCCCCGTAGACATGAGACCAACTCAACCTACCCTGATCTACACGACTCCAAGCTTTGGGGAAGTCCGAGTTTGTGTTTGAAGGAGGCGACATGGAGTCAGGACTCCTGGGTTCTATTCCTAGCTAGCCTCCCTGTAAGACTTTGGCAGAGTCCCTTCCCTTCTCCGTGCCTCAGTTTCCCCATCTATAAAAAATTCAGAGGAAGCTATCGACTTGTATCCCTCGGGGGCTGAAGTTATGAAGGTGCTTGGAGATCCTTGGAAGGCAGATGCCAGAGCATCACTGGGAGAAAATATTCCCACGCTGGAACTAGCCTGGTTTGACTCCCACGCTATCCTCCGGAGTCTATGTATTATTTTTTAACCCTTAGATCACCACCGTTTCTCTGAATGTATTGGCATCTCAGCACCTGACAGGTTAAGTGAAACGTGTCACCCGAAACCAGTTCGGCCAGACGTCATTCTCTAAAAATAAAATTTCCCCTTCGGTGAACCAACATTTTCTGTGTAAACAGATGACATGCATCTCTGCACGTGCACTTTCCCCTATCACTTCGCCGGTGCGACCCGCCTGCAAACAGTCGGCCACAGAACAATGAGGGTACTTTGCTCACTCACTGCTCTTCCCACTCAAAGCACATCACAGACATTAATTGATAGCTCATGAGTTCTGAGCCCTCCCCGCTTCCCATCAGAGGGGCTAGGGGAAGAATATGCAAGGGGCACTTCCCCCTGTGCGGAAATGCAGCCACCTCTGGGGTGGGACGTGGCAGCTGTTTATCCGCCGCACTGGGACACTGGGGTGAGCACGGATTCAGAGGGGAGAGCACCCCCTACTGAGCCCCCCACCTCACTTGCTGCAGCACAGCGCCCCCTAGTGCGGCACCAACTCCAAGATGAGCGCACCTGCTACTGAGCCCTCCCCCTGCTCCCTGCAGACCAGCGCCTCTCGCACACGGTGCGGGATCATTCTGAGAGGAGGCTGCACAGACGTGTGCATTGCCCGGCCGCATCTGGGAGTTGCAAGGGGCCAATACGGTATATACATGCCCTGCGATCCCTCATCCTTCACAAGAGGACGTTCTCAGCTTACCTGCAGCTCCATCATTTTCTCGAGCGAGCTGCCCCCAGAGAAATGTTCCACATCCGTGAGCCGCAGATCCAGCTCCGTCAGCCACACCTGCACGTTCTCCCGCTCCCACTCAAACTCCTCCCGCTGGCTGACAAAATACTGAGGGGGGGAGAAGCAAACAAACAAAAAACAAACAAACGTCAAACAGAGCCAGCAGGTTTAGCAGGAAGTCGGACATCAGAAAATTCACGTTTCAGTGTCCTTCTGCCTAATGCTAATGATGCTGGAGATGATTAATTATTATAATTAGGGTTGCCATACGTCCGGATTTTCCCGGACATGTCCGGCTTTTGGGGGCTCAAATCCCCGTCCGGGGGGAAATCCCCAAAAGCCGGGCATGTCCGGGAAAATCGGGAGGGCTCGGTGGTGCTCGGCCGGGGCCGGCGGTGCGGGGCCGGGGGCATGGTGCCGGGCCGGGAACCAGGGGCGCAGTGCCGGGCCAGGGTCA